GAAAGATAATTCCAAATTCAAATTTGTACAAGAAATTCACACTCTGAAACCACTTATGGGCGGGTTCTATCGACCTACGAATATAAATTTTCGATGACCTCTCGGATACGCATTTCCGCATATATGAGAGATAAATTTTGAGAAAATGTTTTATTTGTTGTTCTTTTATTATATATACTTTTAATTTTTGAAAAAAATATTTTGTAACGTTTAGTAGCATGTTTGCTGCTGCAGGCTACTTGTGAAAAATATTCGCACATAATGGGCTGTGCATCGGTGCTGTCAGGGGTATTTCTAGGGATCATATTTGTTTTGTTTGTCCACCTATTGAATTTTATTGCATTTTGAATCATTGATTTTTTTAAAAAAATCTCATTAAAATTATATTCAAGCGGTATGTTATGGTGAACTTTGATGATTTTTCTATCTATATATCTTGAAAGTTAGGGGAAGCTACTGTTCTCTATTGTACTCAGAGAGAGAATTAGAGGAAGGAAAGAGAGAGCAACAGAGTTTACGAAAATATTGACGCAAGATTATGTTATTTTTTGTTCTAAAAATGTTCCACGTTTTCAGATCATTTCGGTACGCTACAAAAACTCTTAACTTGTTTTGTTTGCTGTGAGAAAGTGGTGAAATATATTCTTGCAGCTTATGCACTGAGTATAAACCTGACCTGAGTGGTGGCATGTTTGTGTTTGTACGAAAAAAGTACGAAGACAATGGCCAAGACTGATAGAAGGATTTCAGGTCTTCATTTAAGAAACAGTTACAACGGGGCGAATTTTTCTTTGAAATTTATTACTCATTGTGATATGAACAAAAGAATTCCATGTGTGCGAATTATCAACAGCAGCCACGAAGGCATTGACAAAATATTAGCAAAGCATTTTATTGCAACTCTAATTTAAAAAGGCAAATAGGAAATACTTTTATTCCATCAATACTGAGTAATGCGGCAAGTAATATCCGCAGTTATTTTGTTTGTAATACTTTTAGGTTTGGGGAAACTCTTATCTTTGATATTTTAATAGAACTACATAGCATTTATTGTTAGAATTTTTTTTAAATGTGTAGTATACTGCGAGCTACATACATTCTCACAGACTTCCTTAAATTATTAAAGAGCACGAAAATGTATTTCGTTAATTTATTTGAAACTTAAGCGTGTGTGGTAAACTGATAGACGTATTTACAACACCAAGATTCGGATACTTTTCAGTTAAAAGAAAGTAAAAGGAAAACAAAAATGGTACAGTCAAGTACTGTGATTAGTGTAAGCAGTAACAAAATATTTTATAATTCAGTAAAATGATGTGCTGTAAACTTTAAATAAATCACGAAGTGAAGATTAAGTTGAAAGGATATCTTTTGGTGTAAAAAATTTAAAGGGAAAATTTGTTGATTTAGCAAATGGGTGTGTGACTTTCTAGTTTCCATGTTATTATTATTTATGTGTATGCGTATGTTTTGGGTCTTAGATTCGAAATATACGAGACCACAGATATTTTCAATTAAAAATATGTAAAATTTCTTTTCGTATTATAAAAAGAAAATAAATGGTTGCCTTATTATTGCATTAATAGATTTTTCCAGTCGTTTTCCCAGTAATAATAATATTAAATCGTTCGAGAACCCGAATGTGAACGGATCATTGACTCACGATAAAAAATTTTTATGAATGCCCATATCTGCATTCAAATAAGTGGATAGCGTGAGCAATAATAATAGAATTATACCTAGAAGTCAGGAAAGTTTTGGAGAAGCCCAAGGAGAGGCGAATATAAATTTAAATACACAAATAAATTTATTTGAGAAAAGATAACACTTTTTAGTCTTAATGTTGTAAATCATTTAGAAGTTGTAAGAGTGGTCAATTGTTGGAGGGACTCCTGCTAAACTTACAATAATTAAAATCTTGTAATCGGAATTTGTACTTTTAGTAATTTTTAATTTTAAAAAACGTGCATTTATAAATCTGGATTATAAATAAACTCGCTCTCTATTACCAGACACATCAACATAAATCTTTGTTTTACACACTTCTCAAATTTCCTCGGGGTAGGTGAAGTTGCAGAAAATGAGCTGTCGTGTCAGTAGGCAAATATTCGTAATGTCAAATTATATTTTTAGTAGACACGTAATTTATGAATTATTTAACTATGAATTAACTTTAACAATATAATTAATTAACTTTTAATTAATTATAATGTTAGTTTTACTTAATTTTAGAAATACTTTTATGATCTTATAAATGAAACACTTGGTTAGAATTTGTTCATGCCAGCACAAGAATATGTAGGTCGAACAATACAGTTGTCTACAGAAGAATTATAATAGTGACCTACTACACTGACTCAGTATCTCCGTCGTGACATCGGAATTTCTGGAAAATGAAACGGGAAATAGACGCGCGGGGTACTAACACCTCCCACACCTCATTCTGTTGACAACCCCTTCTAACAGTTGTGTAAAATACAGATTAATAAATCTTCAAGAGCCTCTTGACTGAAGGTAACATTACTCTTGAATGTGTTAAAAAATTTTATTCACATCTAAGATTATGAAATAGACCAATAAGAGATTCTACATTAAAACACAAGTATAATTGTTCACCAGACAATCTGAGAAAATTCAATTTTTTTTGTACTGGTAGTATGTAGTTCATAAACACAATTACACCATTCAAATCGCAACATTACTCTTGTCAATGTGTTTAAAAAATTATGCGTATCTAAGTTTATAAAATCGACCAATAAGAGATTCTACATTAAAACAAATAGAATTGTTCACGAGACAATCTAAACAAACTCAATTTATGTATACTTGCATTATGTAATTCATAAACGCAATTTACACCATTACAATCGTGGGCGTTTGTGCAGTGAATCATTTAATGTAAATCAATTGTAATATTTTTATTTGTCAAACTTCCGTTTTATATACGTTGTATAATGTCGTTTCACCTCGATCTCTGTATAATAACGCTCGGTTATGAATTAACGCGAGGCCAAAATACTGTCAACAGGTGACTCGCAGTCTTGACGTCGCCGCAGGAGGTCGTGCAGGAAGGTACACTTGTCGAGTTAAAACAGTTTTCATGTTACATTAAAACTCGCCGAACTACTGTGATAGTCACTGCCTGCCACAGCAATGCAACGGGCGTAAAATCGAATATTTCGACGCTTCGATGGGATGTTTTGTTCACGAGCCAATTCCAGTACTACAATCGTTCTATAGTCTTTGTCTGGACCTGGTTGGCAATGTTTCATTTATTCACTCCAAGTTTTTCTGCAATTACACGATCATTACACTGGTGGATCAAAGACTCAGGTTGATCAACATGTATATCTGCCAAGACGTGGTCACCTACTTCATAGGAAAGTGTTTTAACCTCATTCATGGTCACAAGCAGAATTAATCCATTTCCGCATTCTGAAACTCGTGGTTAATGAATTTTGGTCGGACGCAATTCATAATAAGAGTTCTATAAGATTATTCCGCTAGCTATGTTGTCTTTTTTTGACACAAATTTCCGGAAGAAATATCATTCAACCATCGTTCAATTAGTAAATACCTAGATCAGAGCCATGATTCCACTAAGAAACAGTTCAATAAATAAGCTGTACAGCCATAAAATTACATTAAATTCGATTCGATTTGTGTATTATATTCTTTAAATTATTGAAGAAATTACTCGATCCTAGTGCCCGCGATTCTAAAGGCGGGAGGCCCGTATCTTTGCTGGCTCGAAGTGTCGCGGTTTCAAAACCTGCATTGGGCATCGATGTTTGCTTGTGAATGGTGGGGCTTCCGCAGTCACCCCTGAACACTTTCCTTCCATTCCCATCCTCATCCATAATCAGCTGAAATCGCCGATAGGGGCTTGTGGCTTATCTCTGACTGACTGCCAAGGCAGAGGTTTCCGTCACTGGTAAAGATGGAGTCACAGGGGACGGAAGGATGTGCCGGTTAAGGTGATATAAGAATGAAAAGAAATATGGACTCTTATAGGGTGAGTCGCGAAAGGGTGAAGTTGAAAGTTGCCAGTATTGTGGTCGGTGAATACCGTGGATGCGAAAGTGACCTTCAGGAAATAATGGGGAACTTATTGATTATTTTAAAACGTCAATGTAACACTATTTTAGAAGATAACTTTCCTTCCAAGTTAATGCTTATTAAATGAGCCAACCGTGAATCGATATATACTTCCGATAATTTTGCACGGCTGTCAAACATTAACATCTGTCATCGAAAGGAGTATGATTACACCTAAAAAATTACTTTTAGACATTCGTAACTGCTCATTTTATTTTTATTGTATATCAATTCCTTGAGGGCTGATCTTACTTTGGAAATCTAGCAGAGGGGCATTTTCCATATTTATTTACGTGTAAATACGCGGTTAATTTAATTTTTAAACCGTTTTCGAGAAAACAACGATTTTATAGCTGTTTCTTTTGTTGATCAACGTGTTAAGATGTACAAACTCAAATTTTAATTTTCATTGAGAAGTCATAAGCGATTGTAAACTTGCTTAACTATAGACATACCGTATCAAATAAAAACTATGTTAATAATGACGAAAATATTTAAATCGGTTAAGAATATAAAATCTGACGATAAGACTATTTCAAGGCGGTATGTCTTTGTTTTAATAGGCAATAGTTTCTCCTCATTTATTATATGCATCATAATTTTCGGCATTCAACTAGTTTGAAACAAATCTCACTTAGCAATTATGCGATGATGCGAATAATTTTGCGATGCAATGATGCGAATTATTTTTGTATGAGGCGAATTAACGGGAACTTACGCACCTGACTACCAATCCAATTACACCCCACAATCGCAAGAAAGCCACAATGACGAGTATCTGTACCAACCACAATCCCCCGTGCTTCCCAAGATATTGCCACTCACAACGCAGTGCGTTACCACCGCTTCGTCGGGCGGCCTGTTTCACGTGACCTGCTACATTATAATTAACGCTTACTTACTTGGAGCAGCGGCAACGAGAAGAGACACCGGCGGCCGGCGCCGACGCCGCGGTGCGCAGATGTCAAGAGGGGCGACCTGCGCGGCGTGGGGCGCGCCGACGCTGGCGACTCAGACGCGGCGCGGCGCGACGGCGAGGTCGCATGAGGGCAAAGAGAGCGAGCGCGGAGGGCGATGCGGCCGGGTCGGCTCAACGCGACCGAATGCGGGCGACCCGGCGCCGCGCGCAGCTTCCGGACGAGAACGGAGCGAGGCGAGCGGCGGCGGCGGCGCAGCGCTACGCGCCCGGCTGCTTCGGCCCGCAGCTCCGCCCCGCCCCCTCCCCCCCGGCGGCCGCGGACAAGCGCTCAGCGCGCACGCACGCGTCGGACCGCTCCTGCTCACACACACACACACAACTAGGGACCAGTAGAATGAATAAGTAAATAAGTCAAAAAATCATTAAGTAAATAATAAAATAAGTAATTTAAAATCTATATTTTAATTTTGGGGCATACTTTACATGAAGTTACTGAAACATTTACACAATAAAAAAATAGCTCCAACGTTATTAATTAAACGTTGCCATTAGTGTTAAGGACGTTTCAGAGAAATGTGGAGATCTCACGTTCGTTAAAAAGAGTAATTATTTAAAAACTGAAAAAAATCAAAAATTGTTGGCTGTTTTTCAACAAATACAAATAGGAATATTTCTCTAATGAAAAGTGTTCATCAAAAACAGATAAAATAATGTCATTTTAAATTGTTTAGGTCATGAGTATTTTTGCAAAATTTTGTTTCAAACGTACGCAATTTTTATTTTCTTTAAACCATTTTTTAAACGGTACGCAAATTTGGGATTTAAGTATGACCTTAAATGGTGTAAAGCTCGTTTAAGAGAATAGTTGCTGCCTCATGTTCGTTAAAATGCTTGAGTTTCCGAAAATTTAAAAAAAAAAATTCGGGGTGTTCCCACAACTAAAATTGTGAAGATACATTTTTTTCTTAATGTAAAGTATTCATCACAAACAGATTTCACATTAAGTCATTTAGAAATGTTTTAAAATATGAATATATTTTAGTAATTTGGTGTCAAACATAGTAGCTCGCTGGCGAAATTTACTGCGCTTCGCGAAAGTAAAATTAATGGTAATATTTTAAAATTCTCTAGAAAATCTATTAGAAAATATTTAAAATCTATTTTAAATTGCTCCTTTAATTGAATTAAATGTGAAAACGAGTAGATAATTCGCTTTGCCTAATAACATGTAGGAACGAAGAATAATGCATGTAAATACCGAATAATTTTGATGAATATAAAAATATTCTATTGAATTGTTATATTTTTCTATTTCTTCTTTTTCTTCAATTACCATTTTCATTTTCTTACTATGGTTACCAACAATGCTAAATGAGAAAATGAAAATCCCACACAAAGTAGCTATCATTGTTGCGTGATGCAACGTCATTGTAACGTCGTCATCAACATTGTAACGTCGCACTGATAACAGAAGGCGATAATGACGGCTGCCTTTCGTTCGCTTTAATGTAAACTAAAATTTTTATTTACTGCTAAAATACGCACCGTGGGTTAATTTATGTAGAATGTGAATGCACTGAATTCAATGGCAGAAAGCTGTTTTCGTTTAAATATTTGAATTAAAAAATATAAATGTATTTTTCATGCTGCGTTTGTTTAAGAATTTTTCAAATGGTAGTTGAAGTGAAAGATAAAAATTGTCGTATTATAACATTACACAGTCATTAGCAATATGGCGATAAAGTACGTGCTGTTGCATCATCACTAGTTTTAAAATTTTGAACACTTTTGATTCTAATTTCTGAGATTTTACTCTAAAAAGTTCAGTCATTGCATCAAACAATTTTTTAATCCTGGTGAAAATGCCCTTGTATTGTACATTTGAATGCTCTGAGTGACATATTGTCGAACAGAAAGTAACTTTTTTAAGTCTAGTATTCCTCTTTACAACAGTTGCTATTGTATTATTTAATTTGTATGAAGTGAAATTCTAACGTTCTCCCGGTGTTTTCAAGTGTAATGTGGTAAATAATGTATTGTTACAACGCGACAATGTTCTGTATACGCGTATACGAAATGTTATTGCTTACAGAGCGTGAAAGTTATGCAACTGGAATATTAGTTTTCAACTAATGACCATTGGAGAGGAGCAATGCTCTTTCATTTGAAATTAATGAATAAACATGAGCAGTACAAGTATATTATACAACTAGTCCATATTATTAACCTTTATTACGTTTAGGGAAAATATCATCTATCTCCCAAAAATAACGATAGATGCAAAAATATTCTCAAATGAATTCTCGTATTATCATTAAATTTTTATAACAAATTTATATAAATTTAGAGAGCAATGTTTTAGCAAGTAAATATTGAATTTATTGAAATTTCAATTACATTTGAAATATTTTATATTTTTGTTTTTATCTTTAATACGATACAGGGAAATTACAAACACCAGTTTCCCTGTTCCAAGAAGTGAAACTAAAACTTACAAAGACACTATATCTCTGCGGGACCAGAGAGAGATGAATCTATGAAAATTTCTATGTTCAGAGACTTCTTCCAGAACTAAAACTCGTAAAACAATTCAAAAGAACAATAACATAAAAATAAATGAAATCATAAAGCTCAACAATAATTACTCAATAATATTGAAAAATTGAGAAACTAACAAATTTAATATTAAAAAGTGCAGATGAAACTTTTTCAAAACTCTCAGGAAACCCATGAATAAAACAAGTTCTAAGGAGGATTGAAAAAAGTGTATATGCTCATAAAAATATGATCATGCATTTAAAAAAACTGCAAGTACATCCAAATATAGATAACCATTCGGAATATAAAAATAAATGAGAGCTTGTGCTAAAAAATATTCAAAGAAAACAAAAGAAAACCATGGGTGAGTTTTTTTGTTCTATGAATTACGTTACCAAATCTACTAAAAGCTAAAAACAAATTAGTCTATAAATGCTAATTACAAACTACCAACTACTATTACCACAATAATTTACTATGACAAACTTGTAACGTGGAGCAATTTATCAATAATTGAAATGATGTAAACTTAAGTGATCAATTAAGTTTAACTACTCTCTCATCAACTTACAAATTAAAATTAGAATATGTATAAACCAAACGAGCAACTTAAAGTGACCTTAGGATCTCAAGTAATTAAAACATTTAATCAAATTAAATTTTTGGGAATGACTTTCTACAGTAAATTAACAGAGGAAACACACATACAAAATTTAAAAGTAGAGTGTTTTCACACACTGAATACAATTAAGTCCATTGCAACTTCTAATTAAGGAGCTGACAAAAATATAATATTCTTGCTTCAAAACCCTTATATGATCCAAGTTTGACTACGAATCTATTGTATATCAGTCGGCTAAACTAACATTTACTTTTAAACAACAACAACTTTTAAAAAGCCTTCCATCATGGGTTTCGTAAAAAGTGTTATGGAAGTCGTCCCTTCTGTTAAAACTAAAAATTAATTTCAAACTACTACAGAATGGCACAGACTTTCGCGTATTAGTTTTGTATTTCCTTCGGTCTCGGTTGCCACATATTCTTGCCTGCTGCTATTTATCGCCACCCAAAGAACATTTTTTGACATTTTCTTAATTTTTCAGTTTCCTAATTGTAGAGCGAAAATATGATTTTAAGATTAGTAAAGAACAGTAAAACTTTCTTTTAAATGGCAATTTTCAATGAAAAATTGTAGTCGCTTAAAAACTAGTATTTAAGCGCTACTGTAAATTCTAAATTTAAAGCTCATTTTCACAGAAGAATTTTGAGTTCTCGAAAATCTTCATTTGAAATCATTTAAAGTACTTTAAGTCACAAATACAGTAGTATATGCGAATTGCTGGAAATGTGCATATCAACGGCGTGAAAGATCATGCAGATTTTTGAGCTAGTTTTCATAGAAAACGGTAGAGTTTTCGAGAAACTTTATATGACATTATGTAAAGCACATGTACCCATAAATACTGTAATGTTAACAAATTGCTGATAATATACATATTAACAACATGAGTGAAAAATAAAAAAAATAATTTTATAATTTTTGAATAAACAAAAGACTAGAGCAATATGGCCTTTTTGTTATGAGACCCCAAATCAGGTATTTCCGTTGAAGTCTAGAAATCGATTTTCCGTAGCATTACATAACTTTCCCTATACTACGTATATTACTCCATATATACGTACGCATACGGGAAAGTAAATGTAAGGAGATTTCATGGATGATTAAAGAAGAAGTAATGGCTCCGAATGTGCTGTGATGATTGATAACAGCATACAACATATCAAACTTAATATTTTTTCCCATGTTTCATTGTGAATCGTACGTTATTCTCCAAGCTTGAAGAATGTATTAATATTACTTAATAATAAATTTATAATCTATTCATGTTTAAAAGTGTAATAGAAAGTACATATAAACAACAACCCTTTTATGTAAATGTGTGCTTCGATCTCTTTCAAAAAGGGAAGACAGTAACATTTTCTTTTTGAGTTCAACTCTTATAGATATAAGAAGAAATTTAGTGGTTGATAATCCTGCTAAAGAAGTCACTGACTTCCCACTTTTTGAACATACTCTATCTCATACAGACTAAAAAATTGTTTTACCGAAGAAATACAGAATTTTGGAATGCCGAAAGGTTTAGATCACCTCATGTTCCAGATAAATGCAATTCTTAATTGTCATCCCCATTTTCTTAAAATAGAAAACATCAAACAATCCTCACTCGCCTAAGAATGTGTTGTACAAAATTTACTGTCCAACCTCTATTAAGGAAGGAAGATTCAAAATTATTTGATTTCTCCAAAATATCTCCATCTATGAACCATATTCTAATATAGTGTCCCAAGTATAATCAGTTGAGAAGTTAAGACGAACTATCTAAAGACCTGACTAAGTGACAATACTGAAATACTTAAAGTGTTTAAATTCTTATAGGAAATAAACATATACTATTGTATTTAAATCTCCACTGTATATTATTGTAATAGTTTGGGATAAAGATATTCTAATTTATGATAATATTAATTTATTGCATTGTATAATGTGTAATAACTAATTTAATAGTAAATGTGAACTAATAGCCCCCATGTGTATGCTTTATAAATAAAGCATAAGTAAAAAATCGTAAAA